CATGCCTTCATAAAGTAGATACCATGCCTTCATTAGGTAGATACCATACCTTCATAAAGTAGATACCATGCCTTCATAAAGTAGATACCATGCCTTCATAAGTAGATACAATACCTCATAAGTAGATACCATACTTCATAAAGTAGATACCTGCCTTTATAAAGTAGATACCATGGGCCTTCATAAAGTAGATACCATGCCTTCATAAAGTAGATACCATCCTTCACAAAGGATACCAGCCCTTTATAAAGTAGATACCATGCCCGCTTACTAAAGTAAACCATGCCTTCATAAGTAGATACCATGCCTTTAAATTTAATAGATACCATGCCCTCATAAGTAATACCATGCCTCATAAAGTAGATACCATGCCTTCATAAATAGATACCATGCCTTCATTAAGTAGATACCATCCTTCATAAAGTAATACCAGCCCTTCATAAAGTAGATTCCGTGCCCTTTATTAAGTAGATACCATCCTTTCATAAAGTAGATACCATGCCTTCATTAAGTAGATACCATCCTTCATAAAGTAGATACCATGCCTTCATAAAGTAGATACCATGCCTCATAAAGTAGATACCATCCTTCATAAAAATAATACCATGCCTTCATAAAGTAGATACCATGCCTTCATAAAGTAGATACCATGCCTTCATAAAGTAGAACCATCCTTCATAAAATAATACCATGACCTTCATAAAGTAGATACCATGCCTTCATAAAGATACCAGCCTTCAAAAGTAGATACCATGCCTCATAAAGTAGATACCATGCCTTCAAAAGTAATAATGCCCCTTTAAAGTAGATACCATGCCTTCATAAAGTAAAATACCATGCCTTTAATAAGTAGATACCATGCCTTCATAAGTAGATACCATACCATTATAAAGTAGATACCATCCTTTATAAGTAGATAAACCCTGCCTTCATAAAGTAGATACCAGCCTTCATAAAGTAGATACCATGCCCTTTATTAAAATAATCCTTTCCTTCATTAAAGTAAAATACCATCCTTCAAAAGTAGATACCATGCCTTAAAGTAGAAAACCATCCTTCATAAAGTAGATACCATGCCTTCAAAAGTAGATACCATCCCCTTTATAAAGTAGTACCATGCCTTCATAAAGTAATTTCCATGCCTTCATAAAGAGATACCATGCCTTCATAAAGGAAGATACCTACCTTCATAATAGATACCCTACCTTCATAAAGTAGATACCATGCCTTCATAAAGTAGATACCATGCCTCATAAAGTAGATACCATGCCTTCATAAAGAGATACCATGCCTTTATAAAGTAGATACCATGCCTTCAAAAAAGTAGATACCATGCCTTCATAAAGTATACCATGCCTTTTATAAAGTAGATACCATGCCTTCATAAAGTAATACATGCCTTCATAAAGTAGATACCATGCCTTCATAAAGTAGATACCATGCCTTATAAAGTAGATACCATCCTTCATAAAGTAATACCATGCCTTCATAAAGTAGATAATGCCTTCTAAGTAAATACCATGCCTTCATAAAGTAATACCAAAGCCTTATAAGTAGATACCATGCCTTCATAAAGTAGATACATGCCCTTTATAAAGTAGATACCATGCCTTCATAAGTAGATACCTGCCTTCATTAAAATAGATACCATGGGCCCTTTATTAAAAAGATACCTGCCTTATTAAGTAGATACCATCCTCAAAAGTAGATACCAGCCTTCATTAAAAAAGATACCATGCCTATTAAGTAGATACCAGCCTTCATTAGTAGATACTGTGCCTTATAATAGATTAACCATGCCTTCATAAAGTAGATACCAGCCTTCATTAAAAAAGATACCATCCTTTTATTAAAGTAGATACCATCCCCTTTATAAAGTAATACATGCCTTCATAAAGTAGATACCATGGGCCTTCATAAGTAGATATTATGCCTTCGTAAAGTAATACATCCTTCAAAAGTAATATATGCCTTCGCAAAGTAGATACCATGCCTTCATAAAGTAATACCATGGGCCCTTTATAAAGTAGATACCATGCTTCATAAGAATACCTCCATTCTTAAGTAGATACCATGCCTTCAAAGTAATACCATCCTTCATAAGTAGATACCACCTTCATAAAGAGATACCATGCCTTCATAAAGTAGATTTCCTGCTCATAAATAGATACCACCTTCTAAAGAGATACCATCCTTCATAAAGTAGATACCATGCCTTCATAAAGATACCATACCTTCAAGTAGATACCATGCCTTCATAAGTAGATACCATGCCTTTCAAAAGTAGATACCATGCCTTCGTAAAGGGTAGAAACCATCCCTTTCATAAAGTAGAACCAGGGCCTTCAAAAAGTAAAACCGGCCTTTCATAAAGTAAAATTATGCCTTCGTAAAGTAGAAACCATCCCTTTCGTAAAGAAAAACCCCAATCCCTTTCCCAAAAGTAGATACCATGCCTTCATAAAGTGATACCAGGGGCCTTCATTAATTAATCCCAATCCTTTCAAAAGTAGATCCCATCCCTTCTTTAAGTAATACCATGCCTTCAAAAAGGTAGATACCACCCCTTCATTAAAAAAAGATACCATGCCTTCAAAAGTAAAAACCCAATGCCTTCTTTAAGTGATCCCCATGACTTTTTTTAAGTAGAACCATCCCCTCCATAAAGTAAAAACCCATGCCGTCTTTAAAAGTAAAATAACCCCCCAAAAACGAAAATAAACTAGTACTAAGAAGCACCAACCCAAGAACCCAACCCCCAATCAAAGGAGCCAGTTTTTCTGTGCTGGCTGAAAACCAAATATTTAAATTAGAAAAAAAAAGTAAAAAATTTTACTTTTCTGTATGTATGTAGAAAAATAACCCCTTATATTATTTTGGCCCCCTTATGAATGTAAAAAAATTTTATTAATATTTTTGGATTTTCCGGTTACAATTCTGGAAAGTAATAAAAACCAAAGGGAAAATTTTTTGAATGGGGCATTAACACAAATTTAAAAAATGTTTTTTCCCATACTTACCTTTTTTTGGGATTTTTTGTTTTTCCCATTTCCTGAAATATGAAGCTAATTTAAATTTCCCAATATTTTAGAAATCTTTTTCCTTTAAGAATTTTCGAAAAATTTTTTAAAATGTTTATTTGGGTAATTACATTTACAAAAGTTTGGGAAAAAAATGAAAATTTTTTTAAATGGTCATCAATAGAATGCTCCTTATAATCTTGCATAAAAATTTAAGTTTCCTGTCAATTGGGTATAAAAGTAAAGGGAAACATTTTGATAATTATTTACACAGTATTTAATAATTGTAATGTGTGGTGGGTTGAGTGACAGGTGTTAATACTTCATGGCTGTTGATTTTGCCTTTGCTGTTAGTGTAATAAACAGACTTTGTACATGTTAGGTAAGACACATATGCAACAGTTAGGTATCTCTATTTCGAAACGTTTCGCCTACACAGTAGGCTTCTTCAGTCGAGTACAGAAAAGTTGATAGAAGCAGAAGAGACTTGAAGACGATGTAATCAGTCCATCACCCTTAAAGTTTTGAGGTGGTCAGTCAGGGTGATGGACTGATTACATCGTCTTCAAGTCTCTTCTGCTTCTATCAACTTTTCTGTACTCGACTGAAGAAGCCTACTGTGTAGGCGAAACGTTTCGAAATAGAGATACCTAACTGTTGCATATGTGTCTTACCTAACAACCTGTCGGTATTTTATACCATTTTAATTGTTCAGACTTTGTACATGTTCTGTTGTGACCAAGTGTGGATGTTGACTGGCACCTTGGCTGCTAGACGAGGTACCAGTCAAAAATATAAACACTAATAATTATCCAGAGGTTACACTGTGCATTACATAACATTAGTCTTATATATCATAAGATGGGTTTATTGACAATTTACAGTACTTTTTATTTTTATGATATTTTCAATCATGTTAATCTTCGTCTGATTGCCACTGGACACAGTAATGTCTAAAAGTGTAGTTCATTATTTCTGTATATAAGAAATTTAATATTTACATTACTGTGTCCATCAAGAACGTGAGTCATATATTATGAAAGAGCTCGGAATCTATTTCTTTTTCATTGTGGTCAAAATGAAATTTAATGTATGACATTTGTGTTTACATTAGACAGGGTGAGTGTGTAGACAAGAAGGATGGTGGGGAGGAAGACAACGCCCGTAACTCGGAACTCACCCGTATTCATCTATACTCACCTACACCCACCAAGAAGACAAGAGAATCTCACATCTCAACCAAGAGGCAAGAAGACGCATCTGACCCATATGAAATCTGCCCTTATGCCACTTTCAGGTAATTCTTGTACTATTTTTTAAGCCATTTAGGATCATTTTAAGTTAGTAAATTAAAACTTGAGAAAATATATTTTAATAAATTATTAAAGTCTGAATTCATTTACTTCACGGTATATATAATATTACTGGCTAAAATGTCTAATTTAATTTGAATATCTTCTTTCTTTCAATTAATCTGTAATTCTCACTATTCACATATATTTTTTTTGTAATAGTTTAGTAGAGTACATATTAAATAAATCAACTTCCAATGAGTTATCTTTACCTTATAATTAGTGTGGGAAGTTCTGATGGCACTCAGGAGTATGGACTCTCCCTGATCAATGCTAACACCGCCGAGTGTGTGGAACACCCGCTGCAAAGTGAAGGTCACTCGCAGCACTCACCCAGGTACAGCTATGCTGCACCACGACGCTCTCACTCACAATATAAAGAAACAGGCAAGTAAAATTATTAGATTTACATTTCAGTAATTTATTGATAAGTTTTTAGCAATAAATATAAGTAAAAGTTGTTTATTGGTAACAAACTGATCTATTATGCAATATCTTATGTTTAGGTGTATTAGATGGAAATTTATTGATGGGTAAAATGATGAAAATAATTTCTGCTAAATAACAATACCTGATGTCGGACGCTAGGTAATGGCAATGCAAAGTTTCTGTCAAATTTAATCCAGAAATGAATATCAGTTTTTTCAGTAAATATTATAATAAAATTTTTCTCTTGTTGCGAAGGATGATTTTCACGGTATTACTTCCCCCCCCCCCCCACACCTATAATTTTTAGTGTGACTGAAAAGAATCACGAATTTATCTGGTTAGTTTTCTTTTATTACTCTTTACTTCTAGAGACTCGTAAATTAAAATTCCCCTAAACTCAAAGAGACGGTGACGACTTCTGTCTGTAAAACTCAAATTGTAAAGTAAAAGGACACAAGTGCAACTAATGTGACATTTATTGTGGCAACGTTTCGCTCTCCAGGAGCTTGATAAAGCTCCTGGAGAGCGAAACGTTGCCACAATAAATGTCACATTAGTTGCACTTGTGTCCTTTTACTTTACATATTGTCGGTAATTCTACCAACTTTATTACAAAACTCAAATTGTAACTTCTGATATTTTTACAAGTTTTCATGTTTCTTTCCCAAATGTGCACCTTTTGGTTAGGTAATTATAGCTTTACACACTTAATGGTCAACTTTGTACATAAATGTCTAATAGTATTTTTCAAAAAAATACTAAAGGGCAAAGCCTAATACACATAAAGTGTACACATAACTGGAAGAATATAAAAAGTAAGAATTCAAGACCTTGGAAATAAATGGTATAAAATACCGACACAATGGAAACACAAAAATGTAAACAGTATAATGTGATCCTTTATTGTCTCTGCAAAGCTGACCAACACGATCTTCTCCACTTCTGCTCTCACCACGACACCAAAACTAAACGTGGTGTAATTATAAGCTTCTTCCTGCGCGCACTCAGAATCTGCAGCAATGAGTTCCTTGAGGAAGAATGCACTATAATTGAACAAATATTTTCTAAACTCCACTATCCTCGTCACTTCATCAGAGACTGCAGACGGCGGGCATTAAACATCTTCATCACACCCAGAGAAGACACTGCCGAGAAGAGATACATAGTCCTCCCCACCAACTCCATTGCAAAATACGTTTCCAACATTTTTTCCAATACCTCATTCCAAGTATCTACCTCCACATCCACTACCATCAAGGAAATTACCATTAATAGGCAGGACAAGCTTCAATCCTCTGCAAGGGTATACACAATCCCTTGTAATGACTGCATCAAATTATATGTGGGCGAAACGTCCAGAGACCTCCAAACACGTATTTCAGAACACCAGTACGCAGGCAGATCTGACGATTCCAGGAATGACTGTGTTCAACACCGATATTCACACAACCATTTAATCAACTATGGAAACACAAGACTTACCGCCAGAGAAGACAACACTCAATACCGAAGAATCCTGGAAATAAATGGTATAAAATACCGACACAATGGGAATATAAACACAAATGCAGTATAATGTGATCCTTTATTGACTACGTTTCGCCCACACAGTGGGCTTTTTCAAGTCACAAACAGAACTACCTGGGGTGGAAGGAACGCGAGTATTTATAGTCCGGCTGAGGTCAGGTGAAGAATGCTGCATCTGATGATGTACCGAGTTGGGTTGTAGAGTCTAAAAACTTGGGTAGCTTGGAAAGGAGACTGGACAAGTTTGTGAGCAGACCTTCTACAGTGTTCTTATGTGGGATAGCGATGAAGAAGTTTCTTGGCAAGTGGTTCAGCTATGTTATAGAAGCCACTATTCTGGTTGAAGTTGTCGGATATAGAAATAAGTGATGATTCCAGGATTCTTCGGTATTGAGTGTTGTCTTCTGTGGCGATAAGTCTTGAGTTTCTGTAGTTTATCAAGTGGTTGTGTGAATTACGGTGTTGTACGCAGGCATTCCTTGTGTCGTCAGACCTGCTTGCGTATTGGTGTTCTGAAATAAAGGATCACATTATACTGCATTTGTGTTTATATTGCCACCGAAAAATCCTGGAATCATCTCTTATCTGTATATCCAACAACTTCAACCAGAACAACGGCTTCTATAACATAGCTGAACCACTTGCCAAGAAACTTCTCCATCGCTATCCCACATAAGAACATAAGAATGGAAGAACAGTGAAGAAGGTCTACTATATACTTGTCCAATCTCTTTTTAAAGCTACCCAAGGTTCTAGACTCTATCACCCTACTCAGAAGATTGTCACATGCAGCATTCTCCACCTGACTCCATCCTATAAATACTCTCATACCTTTCACCACTGTGTGGGCGAAAGGTTGACAAAGGATCACATTCTACTGTTTATGTTTTTATATTTCCAAATCAAGACCTTACTAAAACTAGTATGAAGCTCTCGTTTTCTATGGAAACATGGTACTCAAATGAAGAAATGATATTGTTTATTAAAATTGTTATAATTATGTGTGGGATGTTTATGATTTTCCAAATGAATATGATTACAGCACATCAGTATTACTTTCTTCTTCCATTGTCTTTCAGAGATTTCGTACATCAGCACTCGGAACCGTGGAGAATATGTTAGCCGTCCTAAGTCCATCCCTGGTGCCAAGCCTCCTAAACCTACTCCAGTACCTGCTGCAAGCACTGCAATTCAGAGTGCTTGGGATGAGGATTCTATAAAGGATACGAGGAGTCGCCCGCACCGTTCCAGAAGTCTTACAAGAGGTGAGGCATTTCCATGATTACATGTATTTTTAAATATAATTCAATATGACTGATCTCAAACCTAAAATCTAAACTACAGGTCACAGGAAATTTCATTCATAAAGAAACTGACTGAAACAGATGGAACTCCAATGAGAAATCAGAGGCATGATGAGAAATTCTAATGGTTTAAACTTTGAGTAAACATACAAAGAAGCACTAGAGAGACGGAAAATACAGGCTAGAAATTTTTTATCTAATTTTCATTGTAGAAAAAGTGACTGGGAAGTGTTGCTTTTTTAGAGGAATGCAGGAACTTGCATCCAATGATGTGCAAAGCAGCAATGCAGCTCAGAGAATATGACCTTAGGTGTCCAGACCACCATGTGAAAGGAACGCGGAGCTAAGAGAAAACAAGCTGATAAAAAATGAACAGCATTCTTTTTTAGACAAAAAGAGAAACGAGGGTAAACAGGGAAATACTAGAGATGGGACTGGTGTACAACAGTGGGACAAACCAAGTCAGTGATACACTCAACAAGGTCAAATGAACAACAGACAAATGCACAATCAATACTGGAGAAACTAGGGGTTTGTGCATCAGATGCCTTATCACGTTGTACATCACCAGTGTCACTAACAAAATTACGCACCAGACCAAAACATCCCAAATGGCAAATTCTACTTCCTTTCTGCAAAGTAAAAATGGCAAAGTTAATTATATAAGTGGGCTTCTCTTGGAGGCAAATACTATGCTTCGAACATTTACAAAAACACGTACAAGGGATGTTTTAAACACTGATATATAAATATAAAATACTCTGATATGCACATGCGTGATATAGTTCACACAGAGGAGTAGGATTTTATGGAAAATATATTTTTTGTTGCACAGAATTGCTGAATTCATCGAATGATACAGGAGAAATTCTATGTATTAAAGTAAATATTATAAATCTGGTAATTATCCTATTTTATAACCATCGTCAGCAACGACTGGAGAATTCACAAATCAAATAAAGGAGACCGCTGTCTTGACAGGCTTAAAAAAATCCCACACCAAATATTATCCTCCTTAGAGATTTCAATCTCCCAAATGTGAAAAGTAAGATGGCTCATCACCAGAAATAGCTCCAGGAAGCACCCTGGCTCAACAGGTACATACCAGGGAACTCCTGGTATGTACCTTTACTATTCCCTTGGGCAAATTCCTTTGAAGAATTCTCTGTAGCGTCACTCGTGAATGTAGTGCCACCCATGAGTTCTCTCTCCAAGAGTAGCCCTTACAGTTTTGACCTTCGCTCAACACTCGTTCTGGAAGGTCATAGGTGATAATCTTTCACCACAATTTATTTCCATAAAAGCTTGAACAAATAGGCTTCGATATCTGCGAAATGTCGACAATAAGACCAATAGCACTACCAAAGATTTCTATGAACAGAAACTGCACAAAGAGGCGCCAGCAGCACCAGCAAGAGCAGCAACTGAACCAACAATGTCAATAACAAGGCCGCAGAACAGATTATTGAAGTCCACATCAACCTGCGGCGAACATCAAGGAACCTGAGAGTAGGCTGTTCCAAAATGTCAACACCTAACTTGTATCCTTTCAATATACCAACTACCACAAAACAGAGCGAAAAACCAATGTCAAAGACCTGGGAGTGATCATGTCGGAGGATCTCACCTTCAAGGACCATAACATTGTATCAATCGCATTTGCTAGAAAAATGACAGGATGGATAATGAGAACCTTCAAAACTAAGGATGCCAAGCACATGATGACACTCTTCAGGTCGCTTGTTCTATCTAGGCTGGAATATTGCTGCACACTAACAGCACCTTTCAAGGCAGGTGAAATTGCTGACCTAGAAAATGTACAGAGAACCTTCACGGCGCGCATAACGGAGATAAAACACCTCAATTACTGGGAGCGCTTGAAGTTCCTGAATCTGTACTCCCTGGAATGCAGGCGGGAGAGATACATGATTATATACACCTGGAAAATCCTAGAGGGACTAGTACCGAACTTGCACACGAAAATCACTCACAACGAAAGCAAAAGACTCGGCAGACGATGCAACATCCCCCCAATGAAAAACAGGGGTGTCACTAGCACGTTAAGAGACAATACAATAAGTGTCAGGGGCCCGAGACTTCAACTGACTCCCATCATGCATAAGGGGGATTACCAATAGACCCCTGGCTGTCTTCAAGCAGGCACTGGACAAACACCTAAAGTCGGTACCTGACCAGCCGGGCTGTGGCTCGTATGTTGGATTGCGTGCAGCCAACAGCAACAGCCTGGTTGATCAGGCTCTGATCCACCAGGAAGCCTGGTCACAGACCGGGCCCCGGGGGCGTTGACCCCCGGAACTCTCTCCATGTAAACTCCAGAAAAATATGCTTCGTCCAAGGACAGCAGTGACTCACAGAAAACGACTGTATATAAAGGGTCTTGGTTTTAATACTAGAGGCGCACACAACAGCACCAATCACACTAGCCCTAGTCGTGTTGATGTTCTTGGCAGCTCCGACACCCGAGAAGAAGACAAACCAATCTTCGGAGTTCCAAAATGATAGGGAGGCATTTACCATGAACCTGCCAAAAACAATCCTTTCACTCTGCGCAGTAATAGTGTTGCCAATACCAATATCGATGGGGAAGAGACAGTTCCTTATACCCCATGTTGCTTATTTTCTGGGTGAGTGGTGAGAGCCCTACACACAAAGGTATTGTCCAGTGTGGGTAGATTGGTATAGCACTGCGTACTTTGTTCCAAGGTTCGTAGATTCGAGTCTCCTTCAGCCAGAGATCAGTGTTTGTGTATATTTCGCCTGCTCTTGGGAATTCCTTATATATATATATATAATATATATATATATATATATATATATATATATATATATATATATATATATATAAACACTGATCTCTGGCTGAAGGAGACACGAACCTACGAACCTTAGGACAAGGTACGCAGTACTTTACCAATCTACCCACACTGGACCAATACCTTGGCGTCCAGCTTGCGCTACACGTTTGATCCAAGGCAGCCAGCTTTCAGGGAGAAGGCTTACAGCTTTTCATCTCATCCCCTGCATGCATCAGCCTTACTAGAGCTGTTCAAATCTCTAGTAAGGCTGATGCATGCAGGAGATGCATGCATCAGCCTTACTAGAGCTGTTCAAATCTCTAGTAAGGCTGATGCATGCAGGGGATGAGATGAAAAGCTGTAAGCCTTCTCCCTGAAAGCTGGCTGCCTTGGATCAAACGTGTAGCGCATGCTACACGCCAAGATATTGGTCCAGTGTGGGTAGATTGGTAAAGTACTGCGTACCTTGTCCTAAGGTTCGTAGGTTCGAGTCTCCTTCAGCCAGAGATCAGTGTTTGTGTATATTTCGCATGCTCTCGCGAATTCCTTGTATATATATATATATATATATATATATATATATATATAAATGTCGTGCCGAATATGTAAAACTGGTCAATTAGCAAGAACTCATTTAAAATTAAGTCCTTTCTAAAATTTTCTCTTATACGTTTAAAGATATATTTTTTTCATTAATGTTAATGTAAAAAATTTTAATTTTGCTCCAAAAGAATCTTAGAAAACTTACCTAACCTTGTTAAAACAAGAACAATTTATTTTAGCCTAACCCAACTAAATATATTTTAGATTTGTTTACAATAATTTAATACTAAACAAACACAGTGAAATATATTTTGTTTCGTTAGGTTCAGAATTATTTTGGCGAAATTATTGCATACACAAATTTTCGCTTGTCCTATATGGCAAGATGAGCGTTGCTATTTAAGCCAAGATCGCAAGTTCTGCCTATTCGGCACGACATATAAATATATATATATATATATATATAAAATATATATATAATATATATATAAATATTATATATTAATATTATATATATATATATATATATATATATTATATATATATATATATATATATATATATTATATATAATATTATATATATATATATATATATATATATATATATATATATTATATATATATATATATATATATATATATATATATATATATATATATATATATATATATATATATATATATATATATATATTATATATATATATATATATATATATATATATATATATATATATATATATATATATATATATATAATATATATATATATATATATATATATATATATATATATATATATATATATATATATATATATTATATATATATATAATATATATATATATATTATATAATATATATATATATATATATATATATAATATATATATATATATATTATGTCAATAAGATCACAGTAAACAGGTGATTTCATAATATGCAAAACAACCACTCTGAAAGAATAGAGAAATTCCAAGCTCTTTCGTGACTACTCACATTATCAAGGAACAATGAAAGTAATGCATCAAAGGTAGGCATATATAGGGTCTAGCAAGCACCTCGCTATCAAATCCCACAACAAAGCAACACCTGATGCGCGACTCATAAGAAAGGAAACACTGCAGCTTTATCGCGTATAATATAAACTTTTCAGCTTCTATGATTGCATTATCCATAATGATGCATTCAATAAACTGTTTTAAATCCGAATGCTCCTTGTGGTTTCCAGATTCTGTGGGCTTTCAAGACCAGAGAGTAATTTCCCTGAACACAAATTTGTTTTAGGGTTATTCACCCCAAAATTCGCCGACTTCTGTTGTAAAGAAACGAGCAAGAGAAGTGATGGTCTGCACAGTCACTTCATCACCGTATAAGAACTTAATTAATAAGCATAGCAAGACTTTTTTTTTTCATTACAGTATGGCACAACCTTCCGAGGACTGTTCTTGATAAAGTTCAACTCACAGCTTTATGTACACTTGCCGTGCTTCAGTCTTATTGTAATAAGAGAAAACGGATGTAACTCGTTTTCTACATTCTGCAAGAATTCTGTGAAACAGCTCTTCTAATTTTGTTCAGCTTCTAGGTGCAATTTCCT